TGCTACCAGGATTTCATTTAAAAATATTATATAAACAATATGCTGACAATGTTCTTTCTATGATCTTAAACAAATTTTATAGATGGTTACCGAGTCATTTTGTACAGGCTTATTTAAGATCACTGCTAGGATTCAAATTTTGATTTACCCACTTTATAAGATGAAGTATGGCCCCAAAACAGATCATGTTTGCAGGAGAGAATATCTATGGACCTAATTGTGGAAGATATATGATCATTACTTAGATAGATACATCGGTCTTTGGAAAAGAATCTACGGTACTTCATTTAATAGAGTCAAATCTGGCATAAAATGAAGGTCATTTCGTGCTATTTTAGAGATACTTAATTACGCAATATTAATACAACAGTAATAAGGATTCAAAAATTACCTTGACTTATAAATGCAACTTTAATTACCTACTCAATTACCGTCATTGTTATTCCTCAATTTCATTTCATAATTTGAAAGCTGGAGAATTTTCGTTTCCTTTCACATGATTAAAGGAATATATTTTTTTATTAGACAATAAGTCAAGACTATAATGATACTTAAAAATTTATTTGGAAGGTAGTCAAAGTGATGTCATTAGCAATAGCCATTACCGCAGGCCTACATTTTTTAAATAGTTCAAAATAGTGAAAATGGCTACTATTGTTTAGAAAACTGGCGACGTATATTGAAAATGAAAGAATGTTAGAATACAAAATCCTTTGTAGATGCACAGTAATTGGATGTAAGTCTGCGAAAAATATACTCTGTCATAGCTGATAAAATCCGTCAATTATCCGGCAACTATTATGTTTTATTTTGGAAAATTTCTGTACTAATAGTGCATTTGACTACAATTTGACGGGAACAATTCTTTACTAATTCCTTTGAATTTCAGGTCCAATTTATATAATATCGATAGATTTGAATTAATTAATACATTAGCTATTTGGATGGGGAGAGTATAACTAAGAAAGTTATCAGAAATTTCATTGTAATTGCCTGACAGGCCTATTGTGCAATTAAACAATATTCTTGAATTACGTAGAATAATACTAAAAATGTTTAGAATTTAAAATTGAATTAGTCAATATAACAGTAGCATTTAAGCGCTAAAAAGAATTTCCTTCACTAATGATTCCTACTTCCGGTGATGGTCTGCGATATCAATCTTAACAGTGCCATGTTTTTCTATCACTCCTTAAGTTAGTGATTTGATGATTACTCTAACATAAATATTTTACTAGTCAGATTGATGTCATATCATCAAAATTGCCAATTATGAAATACTCTAAATCGTGCTTTTATCGCTCTGATAGTATAGCTTCCTAGCGTTTATCAAGCAATATACTACAGGTTATAGGAAGCTGCTTTAACTAGATAATTGGCTCTAATACATGTAGTCATTAAAACTGGGTATTTATAGTTAATGAGATTTTAATCTACAAAAATTGCTTTAAGTAAACCCAAAAGTTGCATCAGTCAATGTCTAATCTGACTAATTCTTGAGCATTTTATTCATACTTAATTATCAACGATTCTTCGCTGTAAACTGTACAGTTACCTCCAATCTACTTATCTTTTCAGCATTTTTGTATTTATTGATTTTTAATCATTTTCAAATAGAAATAATGGTAGCTCAGGTAATTGTAAGTTTAAATAACTATAATATCTTTTCGGTACCAGATTACTAGTAATTCTAAAATCTATGTAAAAGTTACAAACTTTGTCGACTTCTATTCTCTTTTAAGAAATAGCATAGCATCTTTTGTAGTTTCAATTACAGTTTTCGTTTGCTTACTTATTATAGCAACAGATTAATTCGTAAGGGCAATTTCTATTTTGATATATGGTAGGTCTTTCCATAATCACGATTGTTCAAGCAATATAGTGATAATACTTCCAACTATATTTAATATAAATTTTCGATTAGTACCAATACTGGTTGCTTTTGAGTGTTTTCGAAAACTTACTTACATGCTTTTGTATCCATAGTAAGATAGATGCTTGCTATCGTAGAGTATGGGCTATTCAATCTTTTTCTTGAAATAGTGTTATAGTGATTAAATGGCCTATAGAATAATTATTTCAATTAATTTACAGTTAATGCCACTACTCAGATTAGTAATTATGTCAAAAAATAAAAAATAATTGTGTAAGATGTTCTACAGAGAGTAAGATATAGTGTAGCATAATCGAACCTTTATTAATAATATCATAATAGTGAGAAATTATGATGATTTGCGATTCTGAACCTACAAAGGATATCGACAGGCTCTATTCAAATAAAATTACAATAGCTTAGTTAAGATTGATCTTCTCAACTAGTTGACTGTATAGCAGAATTACCATCAGCTATTATCGCTTGGTTTTACCTACTATCATATCTTAATTTGTGAAAAAATCAATATCGATTACCTCTTACTTTCGATAGATATCATAATTTGGTATTAGTTGATGACACCATCATTTCCGACATTAAGTTTTATAAATGACAGCATAGCCTTAAAAAATTATCTATGTGGTGATAATTAATGTCAATGTAGATTTACTAAATATTCTTTGATTTTGCGATAAAGCTTGAGGCTAGTTTTGCCTACGAGAAACTGTTAACTTTTTATAATCTCCTGATAATAGAAGGTCGTCAGTATTTAGAGCCATTCTGTACATAAATGCCGGAGAATAGGTTGGATAGTTAGCCCGTGTGACAGTGTTATGTACTGTATTAGAGTAGAAATATCTATGTTAGGATAATTCTGTTAGCCTATCCTTATTTAGTTAACTTCTAATTTGGATATACTGTTTTTGAATATAGCACTGACTTTTTATGACAGAGACACTTATACACATACTGAAATTAATAGTTATAATAGGGAATGCAAATCATCTACTTACAGTTCGAATCATTGTGATTGTAATTTACTTATGGTAGATCGTAAATTATCACGGAAATGCTCCGTGATAGGACATATCGTAATCTGGCTATTCTGTATTAGTCAATACATGTCTATATTCGTAAATACTGTTGTCTGCATTAAGGGAGCAGTAGCTAAAATTAATACCTAATTCAGTAAATGATTCCAATGTTAATCGTATTAACTATAACTCATGAACCATTGTGGAATAGTATATAAATGCAGTATATCGTGTAATAAAGTGGATTCTCAAACTTGGTGTTTAACGTAAAATACGAGGCGTTTAAGTCTTTGTGTAGTCTGCTAGTAGAGCAAAAGTGTTTGTGATAGTGCAGGTATCGTTCCTTGATACGTGGTTCAAGGAATTGACTTATTGATCGTATATTACGTTATCTTGTTGCAAAGCTGTTTTTGTGACAGCCCGTAATAAATAATTTATGAATATTAGTTAAGTAGACTTGTAATAATTAATTTACGAGTAGCAGTTAAATAGGCCCGTAATAATTAATTTATCAGTAGCATTTAAGTAGACTCGTAATAATTTAAGAGTAGTAATTAAGTGGGGTTGTAATAATCAATTTACTAGCAACAGTTAAGTTTTCTCACGGCACATTTCGATTCGTGATATCCTTATGAATATTATTATGGTAAAGATTAGTTTATCTAGACAGAGACATGTGATGTCATAATTATCTATCACCGTGTGATAAAGTGCTTTCTCAAAGTATAAGAATTAATTATTTCTTGTAAACTTCATTTTAATATATAAGATTAGCTTCGTCTCGCAATTACCAATGATTATCTAACTTCAATTAGACTATCTCTGGATTATCTAAATTATCAAACCAATGTTCTCGATTTATTATATACAGTTCATCTCACGATGATTTTCCTTCAAATACAATCTTGGATTGTAGCCCAAGCTATATTTTGAGCAGCACTACATACTTATATGGATGTAATGTGAGATTACACTGATTTTTCAAGCTAAATTTTCATAGCTTTTGTAATTGTTGAAGTCGAAATTATTATCTGAAATGAAAGTTTAAATGGCAGTTTTACTGGGTGATGATATAATTTACGGGTAGCTAAAAATAACCGAAGTAGAATTATATTATAATGTAACGTTTCTTAAAGCCTACATTTATCAATTCTATTATCTAGCGGCAAAATATCGATGAATCTAATATTTACAATCTCTTCGGTTTACTAATATTTCTCGCCGTATATACAAAGATATGGTAAAATATTTTTCTAGTGTAAGAAATTTGATCATGACCGAACTATAATACATAATTGACTGATTCATCTATCTAATTTCCGATAATTTTGTCTTTTTTAAACTATAGACAAACTGACTAGCTTCAGATGAGAATTGACTCTAAAGCATACTAATTTACGTCAAATTGGAGGAAAGTGGTCATAAATAATGGCGAATTAGAAAAGAAATCAACTTATTATGTGCTAAAGGTATAAACATCATTGCTAAAAATACTGAACTTCTTTGGGTCACATCACGTATACCAGTGCATTAAAAAAAATTCGTGACCAGTCTACACAGATTCGTGATTTAGTATATGGAGTTTATTATAAAGCAATAAATAAAAGAATTTTAATGTCAACAGTTTTAACCATAAGATGAAATCAACCGTAAATTGTAATTAATTGCAAGTCTAGGTTATTTACTGTTTTCCAAGCTAATTGATCGTTAGTTATAAAATTTTAAGCGATCTATACAATAGATTACAATCAACTGGTTTCTTACTCCAACCATAGTAGTGCCTGCTGTCAAATAAAGTTCAGGTATACAAATGCAGTTCCATTTTTATCTTCTCTACGCTATAAATGATACATTAAATTGATGTATTAAATTTGAAGAGTGAAAGGCATTCTAATAAAGTATCATTGATATCGGAAAAATAAAAGTAAAACCGCTGCAAGTAGACAAAGCTGACTGGCATTGTCTGATGAATCTTAAACAATAACTCAGTAAAAGGGATAGATCTAAATTCGAGCATCAGCCAAATAATATTAGTACAGTGATCTGCCTGAGATGGTTATTTATTTAGCGAGGAATAACATAGCAAAGATATGTTATTTACGATAGAAGAATCTTCGAAATAGCACTTTAGTGCCATGTCGTAATCCAGAACTTTGAATATAATGAATAAACGGATTAGCTCCAGCATAGCTAAAAGCAATAAATTGTGTTGGCTGGATAATAATTGTTTGATCAATTTTGATAACATCAAAAAGAAATAGTAAGAACGTCAGGACGAATGGCAGCCAAAACGCAGCAAACACCATGACTATAATGATAGTCTGTTTTGCCGCCCGCACATGATAGCTGCGTTCGTATGATGATCCACTTGCACGTTGGCGATGGCGTTCCATATTAATATCGTTAACTTTCAATATTTTCCAAATTGTAGCGTAAAAAACACTAATAACAATTAATGGAATAAAAAATAACATAGCAAAAACGATGACTAAGTACAAAATGTCGCTATCTTTACGACCAAATGTAACGCAAGTGTCAATCTTATAGGGCATAAAAGTAACTAGTGGCATAAATCCGACCAATATAGAGATAATCCAGATAACTGGTACTGAAATATAGGCAACTGTTGGTGAAGAAACTGCTTTAAAACGAAGAGGATATTTAACTCCGAGAAATCGGATCATTGCTATAGCACATATATGCAAATTTAAGTTAACAATAAATAGGATACCAATTAATTGTGTTATAGAACATATGAATACAACTTCTCGCCAATATGGGTTTGCCCATCGTGGTGCTAAGTAAAGCAATGAGTACAATATACCACTAACAAACATGCTGCCCATTAAGACGTAGCAGCCATTTCGTAAATGCTTAGTCCTCATAATTGTTGCTAACATGATTACATTGCCTATAAAAGTAACGACGGCAATAATTGGCCATATAATGAGATAAGCTAATGGTGTAGAAGTTAAAGTTCCATTCGCTCGTGACGGCAATGTAATCGCTGAAGTCGTTATACTTAAAAATGATCTTGTTACTTCCATCAAGATATAATCCAATTAAACAGCGATAAGATTGATAAAATTGTAATCGTAGAATTGTTTAGAGAAATCTTTACCCTATAATAAAGCGCTAAGATATCGAATATAGTTGAGATAGGAAATTGAGGTATTATAACTTCATTAAATTCCCAAAATTCAGAGGATAGATCCAGGTGCCAATTTAGATTTCAGTTTTTATTGCCTTGATTTCAGTGCCAAATTAGTGATCGGTATTAAAACTATGGAAAAGATAGAGCAACATAATAGCTGTTGTAGTTTAGGCTAAAACTCTTCATAAATGATCGCAATTAAGATGTTATTTTAATTTGTTAGCAAATGGTGGCTATCACTAGCAGAAAAGGAAAAAAAGAATCAAATATTAGGGTAACCTATGATTGATATAACGTAGAGTAGTAATATTTACTTTTTAGAGATAAAAAATTAAAAATCACCCTTGGTAGATTAACACTAGACGTTAAAATCAATTCTGCTGAAATGACAGTACGAGATTTTCTCCTTTAATTATCAAGAATGAAGGATTATGAAGTTGCATAGGCTTATTACATCGGTGACAATGTCAATGAACTCTTATTCTTTCCGATTATAATAGAAAAAAATGAAAAGAAATAGGATAACCAATTGAAAATTAGAGAAAAATAATCTAAATTTAGTTAATCTATTCTACTTTAAGCAGTTTATAGCAATTAATTAATTATTTAATGCTTACTGATTGTGTCAACAGAATGATCAACTATTCATCAGGCGATATCTTCAGTAGGCAATAAGAGATGATAATTTTGCACTATTTTCCATTTATTCTTTGAGAATCAATAAGTATTGTTAGCCATTAAAGATGTTAAGGATATCAAATCCATTGAAGAAGGACAAGGCTGTTCAACCAACACAATCAATACTAATAAACAAAAATTACAAGTCAGTTTTTTCCCTTTGTAGGAATTTAGCACCAGAGTAATACTATAGGAATAGGTTCATTAAAATACCTTGCAAATAGTTGATACGACCTAAAATATTCATCTTCTCTATTTTGTAATTGACGTGAAAAGACATATACTGTTTAGAAAATAATAAATTAAGAGCAGTAGGGTGCATAAAATATCAATAAACAACCTTTGATTTGCATTTTATAGTAGTCCTATATAGAAATAAAGATGATCTTTGTGACATCATATGATGACGTCTCAAAGTCTATATTTTATTCAAAATTGTGGCAATATAATAATTTTGCCCAGGACCAAGGTTCCCCGTATGTTTTGGTCAGAGTTTTTGTTCTAATTTTTCAAGATTATTTCATACTATCCAATACCACGAACATACTCATACTAATAACGATAAAAGGAACGTAAGACTATCATGGAAAATATTTGCAAAGTTAAATTAATTTACCGTTGTGTACCTTTCACAAAATTATTTTCTATTTGATATCAATTTAAATTAAATATCATTATAAATTATATCATGATTGATGAAGTTAATATAAGCAATAGTAATGGTCAAATTGAATTGATCGTAATTTTAATCGTCATGATGCAATAGCATCAATTGGTATAGTCTTCCTTTATTTTATTCGGTAGTTTAGGTCACACCATCAATATTAAGACAATTTTACGATTAAATTACCATATAGGTGATATTGACTACCTCATTAGAATAAGTGAAGTTCTATACGGTTGTAGATGGACATTTAGGATATATTTTTGGTACATGATGTAAGCTAAATGAGAGCGATTGTAATACTACTTTGAAAGAGATTGAAATAACTCAAAAATATTGATTTGTTGCTATCAATGATCGACGTCAAAAACGTAGCCATCTGTAAATTTTCTCAAACTTATTTACGAAATTGACTGCAATAATTCTGGTAAGAATAAAAATTATCCTTAGCAAGGATAGGACTGCAAAATATGCGTATTTCCATTTATGATCTACATTATACTCATTTCCATTTGTTTACAGATGCTACGCAACGGTTATGAATGATATTCTTTATTGATTCCGATTTCGTTGTTCACAACCCTGCAGGTGTTGTACCGCTATTCTAAGCATTGTTTCTCTAATTTTGTATAATGATTGGCAAAGAGTTATTCTACTGATTTACTGTTATCAAGACTTGGCTGCTACTTTTTTACAAACCAAAGGGATGAGCTTTCTTCGTAAATCATGCATTTATACGTAAAAACCAAGTCGATCTTCTCAATTGGATTGGATTGAAATAGTTTAAATGTTTTTCAAAGTCATTTAACACCGAATCTACAAAGACTTTCCGCTACGTCCTTTGATGGTACTATCAACTCATTATGTAAATTTGGTCGTTTCCTATTTTATTCACTAGTACATCAGTTCATTTAGAACTCTTTATGCATGAACTGGTAGCATGTTTGACGTCAGATAGAAAATAATTGACATATGCATAAGTTGGAATGTTTCCATACAACAACGGTTTGTAAACTGAATCATTTACTGCAGATTATACAATTGTCCATGATTATTCATAATAGAATTAACTTCATTTATTCACTTTTCTAATAGTATAGCGGCAATGTGGGTTAATATCGAGTTGGCTTAGTACATGAATGGTAAAATTCGTTGCGTTAATAAAAGCTTGCAGATATCAAAGAAATATCACTTCTAGGAGAGTGAAATGGAACGGTAATTATCTTTTATTTACACTTGTGAAATCATTTTCTATTCCCGCAAATTGCTAAAATTGATGGAATTACTTAATTTTCAGCAGTAATAAGTAAATGGCATCAGATATATTCTTCAAGATTATGACGATTATAAACAAATAATATGTATTGATTATATCGCTATTTGATTCCTTAGTAGTCATAATTAATGTATATGTATGATAAAATTGGAAGAAAGGAATTCATATTGGCATTTTATAGTCTAAATATCATGCACAATACTCTATAACAATTGCTATAGCCATGATTTTACTTTAGAGGTGTATAGGTAAATGGCTTACAATTATATTTTACGTTACAGTCAAACTGCTCATTCCAATTGATTAGGCAATAATTTTAAGTAAATCTATTCAGTATACGTTCACGTTTTCCATTCCTCATGACAACTTAAAATGGTGTGATCAAGGTAAGTATAACATTTATCTTGGAAATTTATGTTTCTATTCCACATTTATGGATTTGTACTTGCCTACTATTAGAGATCTGCCCTAACAACGGATGCGATTAAAAGATTTCTTGTTGTAAATATTAAATGATTCAAACTAAAAATATTTTATTTTATAATCTATAGGAATTAGCATATACTACAGTAATAATTTTTTTACTTTCAATTTTCACTTTTAACCATGATCTTTATTTATCTATAACCATAATATTTACTGACAACCGTATGCCATTCAGATCGGAAGTTGAATTATTATTTGTTAAATAGACGTGAATTGTTAATCGATATTGGAGTACTTTTACTTTTGTCAATAATAAGCTATTACACGATATGAAATGGATTGAATACAAGGTTGTGCACTAATGAATAAATGATGATCAATAAAATTGGTTACTCAGACATGAATGACATTAACCTCGACTCACTAATACAGGAAAAACGAGACTCTAAGGTATTGATCTATAGATTGATGTGAATTAGTATTTTTGTTTTCAGGTTCTGATGTGTACGCATGACCCTGTATTTGTGCTAGCGACACTAATCAAATTCTTCCGGTATTTATTGAGGGTAAATTGATACGGATAAACAGTAACACTAGAAAATGGTATACCACAACATTTTATTAGTAAGAAAATAAAGCGCTAAACTAAAACTCTTCGTCAAATAATATTCACATCGAATTAATCGAATTTTTTAAATAAGGTAGTATTATTAATCTTGCACTCTCTATTAAAGCTCAATTACTGAACATGTACATCATAAATATGAGCTATAATGGATACTCTGGATTGAATATTTGCTAAAAGGTATTACCAATAGGCAATTGTATAGATGAATCATGCGAATTTTGCATTGATGACATGGCATCCTTATTCATTGAATTTCATTCTGTATTGTATCTGATATTACCAATATGACTGACTTCTAAAGCATAATACAACAATCATTTCATCTCTAAAACTCATTAGACTATTTTATTTTAATTACTATGTCAACGTAAACCTTGCTTTTAAACTGCTAAGGCTATATTATCTAGTAAAATTTCTATTTCATAAATTGAAGTAATTTTTTCTACACCATTTAGATTGAAGTCGCTGGCGGTGAATCTAACTTAGTATTTACCACAAAATAGTGCATATAGGTCCAATTTTTCAATGCCATTTCTTATTAGTTGCCGGTCACAGCAGAAGTAATTACTACTTACTGTCAAAAATAATATTAGGCAATATATCACGTAATTTTACGATGCTGTTATTGATAATTAGTTAAATGTCATCACTCTTCTATAACTATTTGCTATCTGCTACGTACCAGTATCTTAAATTTTACTAAACTAAATACCCATCAGTTGATTATATTTAAGCTTGCATTTACTGCTAGCAACACGTACCTTTATGGATTTAATGAAAATAACCAAAACACTGTAATTAACTTAGTATTTTACACTTTAGCACATGGTAGAGCATTCATATCATAATTAATATACAATTTAGTCACTCGAGTTTATACAAATATGCCAGTATAAATATAACAATATACAACATATATAAGAACGTAATTATAAGATTATGATGATTTAAAATATTTACGAATAAATCAGCATATCATAAATTCATGATAGTTGCTGTCTTTATGGGCTACCACGAAATAACTTGATGATGGTAGTATACTGCACAATCAAGAAGGTGATTTTTTCGTTAGAACTAAAGCCACTTGCTGGCGTTAAGGTCAGATTGAACGTGTAGATAACTGTAAAAACTAAACTAAACCTGTTTATAATTCTGTACTACCCAGGATCTTGTCACGGTGTTTGATCATCGTGAAGTATAAATACAGTACATTGCACTGATAATTCTACAATAAATAATTAAACTAGTCATTAGGGTTATAGACCAACTTATGCTCTTGTCACAGTACACGATCCGCAACAAGCAATAATATTACATATCTAAGCTGTTAGTGAATCTAGAATTGTAAACTAATTCATTTTCGAGTAAGTGCGAGTGAATGAGTTAGACAGATACCTAATGTAAATGAGAGCTCAAAGATCAGATCTTGATCAACAGCTTATAGTTATACTGAAGCTTCGCCATTGCTTCTATATTTTTCTCACCGATTGGTTAGAGTCTTTTTTATAGTATGTGTAGCATTGTTTTTACTAGATTGCGCAAATTTTAATTCAATAATAACAAGTTTTATCTGCTATATATACTGTACATATTTGCATAGATAATGGTATTCGCTTACTATGTCATCTATCTGAAGCAATGAATGTTTGTGTGATAAATAATAAAATGCTTTACGTCTAAATAAAATTTAAATTTCGTAGTTTAGTTTGAGCAGAAATAGAGACTAATTTTGGCCTCTTGGCGATGGAAGATCATAAAGAATTTGAATGCAATAGTATAGTAGACAAGAATCAGAGAAAATAGCACCATGCTGTAAGTAAGCTGTTTCCATCGTCCAAGCTATAGTTTGCTACATATAATAAAAATAAATATTCTGTTAAGAGGGTCATAATTAAATTTTTCAACATAATTTGCTACATAGTAAAGCTATGCCATAAAATTATTAAACCTTAAATTATCTGTAATAATTTTTGAGAACGCAATCATTATAAAGATACTTATACAATTGTTTTCTTCCTAATGAATATTAGAATTCCGTTATAATATTATACTAGTTTGTTAATGTGCTTAATTAGTCCAGATTATAACATATTAAATGTCCATAAGAACAAAAATTCAAGAATTTAATTTGTTTGAGATGTGATCATCACTGAAGTTCTAATTTGAATGTTCATTATAAGGGAAATGGTATAAAAATATCAACAGTTACCGCTTTGTTTGAATGCTTAGATTAGATTCCACTAGCATTTACGCAGTTGAAATTTAAATTCACACGTCAACATTTGCAAGGCTCCTATCATAAAATTTTGATCACTCGTGCGAAAATGGATAGAGTGTAGATTTAAAAGATCGCTCCAAGATTAAGTTTACTGTGTTGATGAATTGCAGCTTTTACAGTTATGTACAATAATGAATTCTATAGTATGATATGAATCTTTACGATAAGACTTCCTAGTCTTAACTGTACGTAGATTATGGATTTATAATAAATAGTATTTGCTCATCTAAGAGTCATCCCGAGGCATGGATTTGTAGTTATTAGCTAGCGCGAAAGGAATGCGATCTCAAGAAGTTATGCCATAGGCTTCCGTTGGGTTTTCTCGATAATACCATTAGCAAATAACAGTTTTGCATTACCCCTACATTAATATTCATAGCTAAAAATAAATTCTTATCACTGTATGACATTATGTTTTTATTGCTTAATAATTTAAATAATTAATTACAATATTTCTATTAAAAAAAAATTTTTTGAAGTCACTGTATTCACAATGCAGAGACCGACTGAAACATATTATTCAGCTAAAATTAATAAACACCAGCAAAATTACTTTAATCGTTTAACCAATAGCGCAACATCTGCTATGTGCAATGCTGTGTAAGTACAGTAATAGACGCTACTACATGTTCCATTTACCATGCAAAATATGATATAGGAATTAATCACTTTCTCAATAAGATCGAATTTGATTTAGTAAGATCATATAAAGTAATAAAATAAAAAATAAGGGTAATCGTAAATCACTGCATACAAGCAAAAGGCGGTTCATTTTTCACTTGATAACGTATGATTATTCTCAATTTTAATGGTTACCATAGTTATTGCTAAATAAATTCAGCTATAGGAGGATATCAAGCATGATTTATATCTATTTTTTCCCGCATATTTAATGATTGTACTAAGGAAAAAGAATCGATTGCGACTTAATATCTAAATCCTAAGACTCGCATTTAAGTTATCAGGCAGATAAAATAACGTTAAATTAAAGAACATTGAAATGACGGCCATGATTGAAAATTATTTAATAAACAGGCCAAAAATTGATTGATTTATTGGACATAATGTCACGTACTGACTTACAATAGCATCAAAAGTCTTTATTGCAAACCTATCATAAAACTTGCACATTTAGCATATTTATCTATCCGCATAGTCTAGCTATTAACTTAACAAAAACGATTACAATCATCAAGCTTAACAACAAGATTATTGGGATCTGAAATTGATAATTACTACCGCCATTCTTCAACAGCTGGCAGCCAAGTGAGAAGATTTAAAAGTATTATAATCGTCTTCCACAGTATCAGCATAGGAATTAGCAATAGATCGAACCAAACTTCGAAATTCGGAATGGCGACCATCCGTCATGATATCAATTTCCTTATCCACCGATGCACTAATGAGTGAGGAATCGTAATCTTTGTCGGAACGTGCATGATCTGTTGCCAAGATAGCTCCCCACTGAGAAGCCAAATTAGTAAATCGATCAAGAGTATTTAATTCGGTTGTATCGAAACCTTCCTTGTATGGTGAGCGTTCTCGAACCGAATAGTAGCCACCATTAAAATTCATCCAGCCCAAGTAATCATCCACAGATGTTAGTAAAGCTTTATAAGCGATTGCATGGCGCTCTGCATCATTATTAAATGCCGAGTCAAAATATTGCTGCTGATAGTAGCCCCAATAGTAGTAGGCCGTAGGTTTGCCTTGTAGTTTAACATCGAGAATAATATCATCGTTCTGCGATGATGAAGGTCCTTCAATGAGAATATAGTATCGTGGAGTGCCTAAAGAGCCGGTACCTGCTAATATACGTTTAGCAATATCTTTGACATAGAAATAGGAGGACGAGTAAGAGATTTTGCCCGACAAGGTAGTGCCATAGCCAGACATTGCTTGAGTAATAGCGGATCTATCGGATGACGAGGCCGCTTCTAATTTTTGATAGGCTAAATCAAATTGGCGCCGATTGCTAACCAAGTTGGTCCATTTGTCTAACATTTTCACTCGACTTTCTTTATTTTCTACATCGGCTAAAAAGTTATCTAAGCGGCCATAAGTATTGGATCGGGTATAAATTTTATCAACTTCTTGGTTATTGCCACGGTAGTTCTTCATGGTGTCTAAATAGTTCTCACTAAATGCATCGAGGATTGTATTCACTTTCGATTGGGAGAATCCACTATTTTGACGAGCTACCAACACAAGACTGACTGCCATGCGCCAAATATCATATTGGTAATCCTCAATAACAGATTCATCAAAATCATTGAGATCATAAATAACTTGGTCTTGATCATTAGTGAAAGCCCCATAATTTTCAGCATGAAGATCTCCTTGTAGCCATACTTTAGTATTATCGTTGCTAAATTGGCTTAAGCGGCTATCACCCGTAAAATCCTTCCAAAATAAATGGTTGGTACCACGGTAAAAGACGAAAGCAGATCCTGCCATTTTGCAGTATTTTATCTGCTTGTCGCTGCTCGATATTCCTGTATTCCAAGATTCTATCTCGCTAATAGCACTAGCTCTTCGCGATTGGATATGCCTTGAGACGGCTTGATGTGTAAGAAATATGGCGATGATAAGCGATACGGTAAGGAGAAAGCTTGCAATCCTCATTTTTACTTTAATTTTCAGGATCGGGTAGCTACAAATCAATCGCTATGAAAGATACTTGACCAATTTTTGCTATTAGCAGTTTCTTTACAAAGAGATAATCTCCTTAAATAGTCTTGGTAGATAAGCACATCGGAGTAGTTAATGTCAATATTGATCGCCTGATTCTGTTCCATGTAAAGAGGAATGCGATGGATTAAACCACTCTTCGAATCTCTTAATGCTGTAAAATCAATATAAAGCGTTCATTAGGTCAGATTAATCCTTAGTTAAAATAAACAGAGATACTGTCCATATTGATAATCCAAACAGAACAAAGTAAACTCGGGTTACTAATATAATATTTTACAATTGGTAAATATAAAGCAATTTTAATGTACTTTTATTATTTCATGAACGGCTTCTTCACTATACTGTGAGCCTGTACTGTAATTTAGTGATGACTCCGGCCTTTAATTTAGGCAAATTTATAAAAGCTTTTAGAAATTTTGAATCATTTTGTGTAGTATTAATTACGGCTATAATCAGTAGCCTATCGAGATGATGGATTTCATTGGAGGCTCAGTGCAAATTTTGCTCTTATTTAGCGTTATTATTGCAAAAATCGCTTAATATATCCTTTATTATCAACTGATTTATGAAGTAAAGTAACGTTAGTACTAGGAGGTTCCATCTAAATCTGCATCTATAAATCAGTGCAGGCTGCCTTATTATTTCTATTGACATAAATGTTTTATTAGCTAAATTGATCGATCAACTTCATAAATAGTTTAGGTTTATTGCATGACGAAAGGTAATTAAGATCGTTTACAAATATTGGTTCCAACCATATCTTTCTATACCACCACGGATACTATCTACTATCGTAATAGCTTTTAGCGCAAATTATTCATAAAAGTATTTTCTCTATTTGCTAAAGATTAAGCTTGATAGGCCAAAAGCAGAAGATAAAGTTAAATAATTGTATATAAATATATATTATGTGTAAAGGTTAAATTCAGGTCTATTTGACCTCATAAGGGTCATCAATGGTGACAAAGTTAACCATAAGTATTAAAGCTTGATTATATTTATTTGCGAAGGATAACTATATAAAAGCTAAATAATGGAAAAAGTATTTAATTAAATTCTAACATTTATTAAATAATGGATTAAATGACCATGACCTGTAAAGGGATTTCTTCTCAGAAAGATTTAGGTGTCATTGAATTAGAATCAAATTATCATAATTTCTTTTAAGTTCATACGCTGTAATAACCTGCATATTATAACAGATACTGAGTCTTTATCAATAATTAACTTAAAGGCTATGAAATGATTATTTATACTAACTTTATCAGACATTGATTTCTTCCCCAAAACTGGTAACTGGAAAATTTGCTTCTGAAATTTACGGTTCTTGTACATCCTTAAGCAACTATCATAAATACAAACGAATTAACCTAGGTTTAAGATCCGTTTTAACTTATTAAAAACTTACATATTGAGTTCTTATCGCAAATTTCCTTGCTACTATTGAGAAAATATGGTCATTTATTCGCAGTCAGGGGCTTCGCATTTATGTACGAATTAAAAATTTTAATCGTGACGTAACATGAATTATTTTATGAAAACTAGGTACAATTTTCTCTCGTGTAACAATACTTCAGATACTTTCTAGCTGATAATTCATAACAACTGCTTCTATTGATTATAATTTTTGTTTCTTTAATTATTTTTTGATCTTAATCTTTGCATATGTATTAGGAACTACGAAAATAATTTATTATACTACCTTAATAGTTTCATGCTATCAATGCAGTAAGAAAATGTTTTAAAATTGAAGGATACAAACCATCTCAAGGTGACTGCTATAAATGGCTTACTTGATAAACCTTAAGTTTACTTTTCATGCCAATTCTATCAATGATACTGTACAGAAAGGGCCGAATAAGAATTATTAAGCAATTTGCAATTTTTAGAACGATATATTAATATTTAACTAAAATAATTCTAGTTTCAATGACAGTAAATTTATAGTACAATTTTCATCTGTAATAAAATCTTCCAATACGTAATATTGAATTGTTGTACTGTACATCATCGAAAGATGTCAGTTAATTAGTGAGATGAGAGTATAATATGACGCTATTGATGTAATTCGATAACACCTTAGCTATATGGGCGATATCTGTCAAGAAAATTGTTGTCACAACCCTCACGTGTGGCAAAGGAAAGTAAAGAACTCTAGTGTAGTTACTTAAAACTTGGGCTATTTCTCCCAGTACTTTCAGTTTCTATGAGAGAAGTATTTGAGAACTCGATTTCTCGGCTGATCTCCACAGACAACTGACTAATTATTTCACTATTCTTCACGATATGAGTCTAGCCGTTTCTTGAGCAATTACTAACTTTATTCTACAAACTCATGCGCTTAAATAGGTTTCTACAGTGAATTCCAATATTAACGAGTGAGAATTCATACTTTACAAGTTACATTAATTAGTATAATACCATTACTAAATATGCTTGTCGATATTCTCAGACTTAGATAGCTACAAGCTATCAGGTGTTAAGACGCTTAACCTTCGTCCATATACGGCTCAATTTTTAGAGATTAGCACACCTTATAAACCTACAGTAAATTAACTGTTAACAACTTCTATTTCTATCTCATTTCTACCATCCTATTATCAGCTACAAGCGCATTAAACATAGCAGATAATCTTATCTTATCTATTCATAAGCATTCATTAATCAACAGTTACTTAATTAGTAACGGCGTACCGTGACACATGTAAGAAGTAATCTTATGACATTGGATATAATACTAACGAACACTATCAAGCTGTGCAACAGCTACTGTTAGGAGAATAAATAAGCAAGCAATTTCCTTGCCTACGATATTGTAACTCTTTTAAGGCAAATGTCTCCGATCAAGTAGTTTGATAGCTACTTGTATCCATCTCAGGCGATAATTAACGCAAGGTAAGAAAATATTGCTTAGATGCCTAAATTGCAGCCTATCACATTAAGTATCCTAGTTGGTATTAAAACATTGAAGGGATTGGATTAGTGTCTGCTACAATTTATGCGTTTAATCTAACTATAGTTCCAGCAAGTGGCCTGAGTTCTAACGAAAATTATATTCTTGAGTATACAGTGTAATACCAATTAGAGAGAGAAGAACAAATATAACATTAATCATTGATATAAGTAGACGAGATCTTAGCGAGAAGGACGATTACTATCAAGAAAAATGTTATCGCATAAGAGAGTACTATAATCTTATGATATTATCCGATACTTATCAATACCCTTCGAAGGATGAATAAGCTATTTCCTTGCCCACATTATTCTAATTCATTGACAGTAAATGCCTCCAGTCCAATCGCTTGATAACTACTCCTATCCATTTCAGCAGATACCACCATCAACTTAAGATGAGAAAATGTGCCCTAAGTATTCAAATTAGAGCGAACTACATCCGTATCTGTCATCCAAATATATGCATTCTTGCCAAAAAAAATCCACCATAGACATTTCCAGATATTTGCGTGGTCTTCTTATATCTTGAGCTATTTAATAAGATCAGTTTTCCATGGTAACTCGAAATCTTTTTCCTAACCTTCACGACTGAAACAATCTAGGCGGTCTCCATACGCGTAAAGGGTAAACTATAATTATTGAATTCTTTTATAGTAAATTGTAAGTCTCATTAATATCTTCTATTTACATTTCTGAGCAGCTGCAGAGTATATAACATAGCATTTAATACTAATAAGTAATATTGGCAGTTGCATACTCTTAAAACCAAATTTGTATAACTTTGTAATCCACTTGAAAGTAATGTAGGTTAGAGCACGCATATAACAGGAGATTAATCACGCTAATACGATAAACATGCAGTAAGCTACCTGGTGGCGATTTTAATTGATGCATCGTTTAAATTATTTTGATTGACTTAGCTTAATGAACGATTGTTAGCCAATCAGAGAAGATTTTATATCGTGAATAAACTGAGAAATATTAATATTTATAGTAATCTGTTTAACATTTATAGAATCCATTGCGCTGTAATCGTTGAATCAATATCAATTACTCTACGCAAACTTTCACAAATTTTCAAGAACACTCCAAGAAAATGGTTCTTGACTGCCTAAAGATCTCTGATTTAATGCAGCAAGTAACTGCAACTAGCGTTTATAAGACCTACTTTAAGTTTATTTAATTCGTTCACGCGATAATGATTCATTAATATTGTTTATGCCGGAAAATTGGGAATTCATGTCAAGGCGTATAGAACGAATTGCAAGAAACGGTGTATGCACGCACGTAGTCCCGCTTAAGTGTAACTAAGTATTTCAGTGATTTACATAAAAATTTATAACAGATCTGAAAAGAAAATTCTAATTAAAAATTAAAAACCACTGAATTAAATAAAATCGCTTAACACTGGTTTTAATTTGAATTAATAAGATAAGGGAATCAGTACCGCAATATTGTTCAGCCTTACACACCATGTTTTTTTGTAGTTTATAGGAAATGTTTATCAGTGATCATAAGCTGCTGTGCATGATCATTGGTACTGTAGAAGTCGACAAAATACTACTTATATTTTGCTTCAGAAAATTCAACTGTCAATTCTTAAAAAAAATGGGCTCGTAATTATACTGAAAGTATTAATTGTAATTAATAAACTTACGATATTATAAATATGTAAGCTTGTTCGATATTTAGATTATAAATATTTATTTTCTAACCTCGCTACAAGTTCCAAGTTTATCTTAAATTGCTTCAGAATGGTTTTAATAAACTATAGGGAAACATGCTTCTAAAAATTAAAGAAATTTTAT